AACCTATCCTACGCAACCTAACCTAACCAAAACCAGCCCAACCAACCTCACGTGAATTAACCAAACCTACTTAAACTAACCTAACCAATTTAACCTAACCTAATCAACCAATCCTAACATAAATTAACCTAGCTAGCTTACTTACGCAACCAAAACTAACCAAAACCGACCCAACCAAACGTAACGTCAAATAACCAAGCCCATTTAACTAACCTAACCAATCGAACTTAATCAAAACAACTAACCAACCAAATCTAACCTACCTAACCAAACCAATACAACCTAACCTAACCAACCTAACCTAACCAACCTAACCAACCTAACCTAACCAACCTAACCTAACCAACCTAACCTGTCGTCGGGTTTGGTTGGAGAGTTTAGCCTGTTTTAAAAGAAGTTCATGATACCACAGTGAGGTCTAGAAGCGTCATGTAGTGTTGGAATACTATCTGTTGATCGTGTACAGTGGAGGCGATTGATACCTGCTGTGTTGGCATGACCTAACACCCTGACGATTCGACTTAGTAAATATAGTGAACTGGTGTGTGAAGTGTTGTGAATAAATGAAGGTGATTGAGATTTACTTTGTATTCTGTGTGTGTGTGTGTGTGTGTTAGTTGTTGATATGAATAAGTAAATGTGGATATTTCTAGTTTTGTCTTAGCAGTTTTTATTCTCACTTTCTACACTTGTTTCGCATTATTCTCTTTATCATTGCCTATCTATAGCCCTTTACTTGAGGTTCCTGTTCAGATAGATAGATAGACAGCGGGTATATGTTGAGGCACACTCACTCACTCACTCACTCACTCACTCAAACAATCATATATTACTTTCAACACACCAAAGAGTTACTTGACAACATAACCTGGCACACTCCACAGCTCACTCATAAAAACACGGGTCTAATGCCATTGTCAGTTTACCGGGTGACAACACTGGTCTCTGGTACCACTGTATTAGGTATCAACACTGACATATGGTGCCATTAAAATTGTAACAAGCGCTAATATTACCAACTTGTGCCATCATTAACACCCAATGCCACTGAGGTTGTCACCGGTGCCAAAACTGACATCCGGTACCCCAGTGACTGTAACAAGTACTAATTGTCATACACGGTGGCACTATGACTCTAATAAGTGCCAACGCTGCCATATGGTGGAGCTATTAATGACAGGTGCCAAAACTGACATATGGTGGCACTAATAATAACAGGTGCCAACAGTGACCCACATAGGACCCTATGACCATATCAGGTGCCAACAATGAGTCACTGCCAATCTTGTGCCACTTGTGTGTGTGTGTGTGACATAAAGGTATAATGATAAAAGGCTGTACTGACATAGTGGTCGTAGGCATACAGGATGTATTCATTTAGAAGTGCATTTATAAACAATCTATTAATACAGAAGTGTAATTATAAAAAAGCTGTATTAATAAATAGTATACTGATGCAGTGTGTATTAATAGAGCATACTGTATACATGGTGTAAAGGTCAGCATGCTTGTCTCTTAAGTGAGGGGTCCTGGGTTCGATTCCCGGGCAGGGTGATTACGCCATTTGCCTCTGTCTACCCAGCAGTAATTGGGAACCTGAATGTTAATCAATTAGTGGATCGTGCTCTGGGTTAATGGTTTGCCAGTGCAGTTTGCGAGTTGTCCGGTATTCTTTGCCAATGTGTAATACACCTCGTTAACTCAGGGTGTGGTTGTTGTGTGGGTGGCCCTTGTGGTATTGATACTGAAGGTGTATTGATACTGAAGGTGTGTTGATACTGAAGGTGTGTTGATACTGAAGGTGTATTGATACTGAGGTCTGTTGATACTGAAGTGTGTTGATACTGAGGTGTGTTGATACTGAAGGTGTATTGATACTGAAGGTGTGTTGATACTGAAGGTGTATTGATACTGAAGGTGTATTGATACTGAGGTGTGTTGATACTGAAGGTGTGCTGATACTGAAGGTGTATTGATACTGAAGGTGTGCTGATACTGAAGGTGTATTGATACTGAAGGTGTGTTGATACTGAAGGTGTATTGATACTGAAGGTGTATTGATACTGAGGTGTGTTGATACTGAGGTGTGTTGATACTGAAGGTGTATTGATGGTGAAGGTGTATTGATACTGAAGGTGTATTGATGCTGAAGGTGTATTGATGGTGAAGGTGTATTGATGCTGAAGGTGTATTGATACTGAAGGTGTATTAATACTGAAGGTGTATTGATACTGAAGGTGTATTAATACTGAAGGTGTATTGATACTGAAGGTGTATTCATATTGAAGGTGTATTGATACTGAAGGTGTACTGATACTGAAGGTGTATTCATATTGAAAGTGTATTGATACTGAAGGTATATTAGTACCGGTGTATTGATACTGAAGGTGTATTGATACCGGTGTTTTGATACTGAACTTGTATTGATACCGAAGGTGTATTGATACTGAAGGTGTAGTAATACTGAAGGTGTATTGATACTGAAGGTGTATTGATACTGAAGGTGTATTAATACTGAAGGTGTATTGATACTGAAGGTGTATTAATACTGAAGGTGTATTGATACTGAAGGTGTATTAATACTGAAGGTGTATTGATACTGAAGGTGTATTCATATTGAAGGTGTATTGATACTGAAGGTATATTAGTACCGGTGTATTGATACTGAAGGTGTATTGATACCGGTGTTTTGATACTGAACTTGTATTGATACCGAAGGTGTATTGATACTGAAGGTGTAGTAATACTGAAGGCGTATTGATGGTGAAGGCGTATTGATACCAGTATATTGATACTGAAGGTGTATTGATACTAAAGGTGTATTGATACTGAAGGTGTATTGATGGTGAAGGTGTATTGATACTGAAGGTGTATTGATGGTGAAGGTGTATTGATACTGAAGGTGTATTGATACTGAAGGTGTATTGATACTAAGGTGTATTAATACTGAAGGTGTATTGATACTGAAGGTGTATTGATACTGAAGGTGTATTGATGGTGAAGGTGTATTAATACTGAAGGTGTATTGATACTGAAGGTATATTGATACCGGTGTTTTGATACTGAACTTGTATTGATACTGAAGGTGTATTGATGCTGAGGTGTGTTGATACTGAAGGTGTATTGATACTGAAGGTGTATTGATGCTGAAGGTGTATTGATACTGAAGGTGTATTGATACTGAAGGTGTATTGATGGTGAAGGTGTATTGATACTGAAGGTGTATTGATATTGAAGGTGTATTGATGGTGAAGGTGTATTGATACTGAAGGTGTATTGATGCTGAAGGTGTATTGATACTGAAGGTGTATTGATACTGAAGGTGTATTGATACTAAGGTGTATTGATACTGAAGGTCTATTGATACTGAAGGTGTATTGATGGTGAAGGTGTATTGATACTGAAGGTGTATTGATACTGAAGGTGTATTGATACTGAAGGTGTATTGATATTGAAGGTGTATTGATATTGAAGGTGTATTAATACTGAAGGTGTATTGATACCGAAGGTGTATTGATATTGAAGGTGTATTAATACTGAAGGTGTATTGATACTGAAGGTGTATTGATATTGAAGGTGTATTAATACTGAAGGTGTATTAATACTGAAGGTGTATTGATGGTGAAGGTGTATTGATACTGAAGGTGTATTAATACTGAAGGTGTATTGATACTGAAGGTGTATTGATACTGAAGGTGTATTGATATTGAAGGTGTATTAATACTGAAGGTGTATTAATACTGAAGGTGTATTGATACTGAAGGTGTATTGATACTGAAGGTGTATTGATACTGAAGGTGTATTGATATTGAAGGTGTATTAATACTGAAGGTGTATTGATACTGAAGGTATATTGATACCGGTGTTTTGATACTGAACTTGTATTGATACTGAAGGTGTATTGATACTGAAGGTGTATTAATACTGAAGGTGTATTGATACTGAAGGTGTATTGATACCAGTGTATTGATACTGAAGGTGTATTGATACCGGTGTATTGATACTGAAGGTGTATTGATACTGAAGGTGTATTGATACTGAAGGTGTATTCATACTGAAGGTATATTGATACCTGTGTATTCATACTGAAGGTGTATTTATGCTGAAGGTGTATACATACTGAAGGTATCGGGAGATTGCTGGATGGGGTGAAAAGTGAGAGTGAAAGATATTTGTGTGTGAGTAGAATGAGTGTTTGGGAGTGTGCGAGTGCGTGAGGTGAGTGTGAGAGAGTGTGAGAGTGTGAGAGTGTGTGAGTGTGAAAGTGTATGTGTGTGTGGTGCGAGGTGAATATATGAGTGTGTGCGTGAGGAAAGTTAGATGAGTGTGCGAAAGATGTAAGTGCGTAATGAGAGGGAGGTGATAATGTGTAAAAGGTGTGAGTGAGTGCGTGAGAGTGTGAAGTTAGAGTGTAAGAGCTGTGAAAGTGCAAGAAGTGAGAAGTGTAGGTGTGCGAAAGTTACGAGCGAATGAAAGGTGAGAGTGAGTGTGAAAGGCGTGAGTGTGATAAGTGTGAGTGAGTGTGTGAAAGGTGTGAGAATACTGTAAGGCACATGGGGTTGTGTCAAGGAGTGAGTGTGTTTAATAGGTACATGTGTGAAAGTGAGTGTGTGGGAGGTGTGAAAATGAGAAAAACGAGTGAGAGGTATGAAAGGTGTGTGTGTGTGTGTGTGTGTGAGAGAGAGAGATATAGAGAGGGTCGAGGGTGTGTGTGAGTGGTGGAAGAGTGAGTGGGGGGGGTGCGTGAGTGTGTGTGAGGCGAGTGTGTGATAGTGTCAATGAAAATGGGCGAATATGTGAGAGATGTGTAATATTAAAATACAAGAACGAGGGTGAAAGAGTGCGAAGGGTGAGTGTGTGAGAGCGTGAGAGTGTGTTAAAAGTGAGAGCAAAAGAGGTGTGAGAGGAATGATAGAGATGTATGAGAGTAACAAATACGGAAGTGTGAGAGTTAGGGTGCGTGAGTGAGAGAGAGTGTGTGAGGTGGGGTTGAGACTCACCTGAGGCTGGGCAGCGAGGAGCGACGCGGTAGTGAACAGCTCACTAGTTAGATATACACTGACCCTGTGCCCGGCCACCTGCCTCCTACCCACCTGCCCTCCATAGCCCGCCCACTGCCCTCCATGGCCCACCCATTGCCCCCCATGGTCCACCTACTACCCTCCATGGCCGCCCACTGTCCTCCATGGCCCACCCACTGCCTGCCCTCCACGATCCGCCCACTGCCCTCCATAGCCTGTCTACTGTCCTCCATGGTCCTCCCACTGTCCTCCATGGTCCTCCCACTGTCCTCCATGGTCCTCCCACTGTCTTCCATGGCCCACCTACTGTCCTCCATGACCCACCCACTGTCCTCCATGGCCCTCCAAGTGCCCATCATGGCCCGCCCACTGTCCTCCATGGCCCGCCCACTGCCCTCCATGGTCCGCCCACTGCCCTCCATGGCCCACCCACTACCCACCATGGCCCGTCCACTACCCAACATGGCCCGTCCGCTACCCACCATGGCCCATCCACTTTGCCACCAACGGAGCTCAGATTCTCAACTGGCTCAGCCATGTCAATATTGTTGTTATTGTCCACTCTGTATCTGTTTATTTCTGGCTAAGTAAACTGTTTCACTATCATTTTCAATGCTATGGCCGGCCCACTTTTATCCCATAGTCTTTCCATTGACCCACTTTGACTGATCCCTTACTCACCATGGCCCACCAACAAGATTCTTTTAACCACCTGGCCCACCAAAAATGTTGTTCTACCCACAATGGCCCACCATTAAGGTTCATCTACCCACCATGGTCCATTAACACCCTCCCTGTGCCATAGTCTCCCCTCCACCCCTCCCCTGTAACTCCCCTCAAATCCCCACTAACCCCTCTACACTAACCCCTCTCCTAACACCACCCCTTCCCCTCCATCCCTATTCTACCTCCACCACCTCCTTCAACCCTTCCTCTTCCCATCCACCACCTCCTTCAACCCCCTTCCCTCTTCCCTTCCACCACCTCCTTCAACCCCTTTCCCCTCTTCCCTTCCACCACCTCCTTCAACCCCTTCCCTCTTCCTCCCACCTCCTTCAACCCCTTCCCTCTTCCTCTCCCACCACCTCTTCAACCCCTCTTCCCTCCCACCATCTCCTTCAACCCTCCCTCTTTCCTTCCACCACCTCCTTCAACCCCTCTCCCCTTCTTTCCCCACCACCTCCTTCAACCCCTTCCTCTTCCCCTTCCACCACCTCCTTCAACCCCCCTTTCCCTTCTTCCTTCCACCACCTTCAACCCCTTCCCTTCCACCACCTCCTCAACCCCTTCCTCTTCCTTCCACCACCTCCTTCAACCCCTTTCCCTCTTCCCTCCCACCACCTCCTTCAACCCCTTCCTCTTCCTTCCACCACCTCCTTCAACCCCTTCCTTCCCTTCCACCGCCTCCTTCAACCCCCTCCCTCTTCCCTTCCACCGCCTCCTTCAACCCCTTCCTTCTTTCCTCCACCACCACCTTCACCCCCTCCCGCCCACACAGCGGTACAGAAAGCCAGGGGTTGCAGAATACCTCCCTGGGGTACCACGAAGAATTGTGAAATAAGTGGGCAGTGTTGACCTATACTGTATGAAACTGCCTTAAGTGTGTTAATGGGGAGATTATGGCTATGTCTGAGTATGCTTTGAAGGCCGGATATAATGACTGAGTGTGTTGGAGGCAGGGTATACTGTCTGAGCGTGTTGGAGGCAGCTGAGCGTGTTGGCGGCAAGGTATACTGGTTGAGTGTGTTAGAGGCAGGGTATACTGGCCGAGTGTGTTGGAGGCAGGGTACACTGGTTCAGAGTGTTGGAGGCAGGGTATATTATTTGAGCATGTTGGAGGCAGGGTACACTGGTTGAGTGTGTTGGAGGCAGGGTACACTGGCCGAGGTGTTGGAGGCAGGGTATATTATTTGAGCATGTTTGAGGCAGGGTACACTAGTTGAGTGTGTTGGAGGCAGGGTACACTGGTTGAGTGTGTTGGAGGCAGGGTACACTGGCCGAGTGTGTGCTGGAGGCAGGGTATATTATTTGAGTATGTTGGAGGCAGGGTACACTGGTTGAGTGTGTTGGAGGCAGGGTACACTGCCGAGTGTGTTGGAGGCAGGGTATATTATTTGAGTATGTTGGAGGCAGGGTACACTGGTTGAGTGTGTTAGAGGCAGGGTATACTGGCCGAGTGTGTTGGAGGCAGGGTATATTATTTGGAGCATGTTGGAGGCAGGGTACACTAGTTGAGTGTGTTGGAGGCAGGGTATACTATTTGGAGCGTGTTGGAGGCAGGGTACACTGGTTCAGAGTGTTGGAGGCAGGGTACACTGGCCGAGTGTGTTGGGGGCAGGGTATATTATTTGAGCGTGTTGGAGGCAGGGTACACTGCGAGGTGTTGGAGGCAGGGTATATTATTTGAGCGTGTTGGAGGCAGGGTACACTGGTTAGGTGTTGGAGGCAGGTATATTGACTAGTGTTAGAGGCAGGGACACTGGTTGAGCGTGTTGGAGGCAGGGTACACTGGTTGAGTGTGTTGGAGGCAGGGTATATTATTTGAGCGTGTTGGAGGCAGGCACACTGGTTGAGTGTGTTGGAGGCAGGTATTTGATGAGGTGTGGAGGCGGGCACTGGTTGAGCGTGTTGGAGGCAGGGACACTGGTTGAGTGTGTTGGAGGCAGAGTATATGACTGAGTGTGTTGGAGGCAGGGACACTGGTTCAGAGTGTTGGAGGCAGGGTACACTGGTTGAGTGTGTTGGAGGCAGGGTATATTACTTGAGCGTGTTGGAGGCAGGGTACACTGTTCAGAGTGTTGGAGGCAGGGCACTGGCTGAGTGTGTTGGGGCAGGTATTATTTGAGCGTGTTGGAGGCAGGGTACACTGGCCGAGTGTGTTGGAGGCAGGGTATTATTTTGAGCGTGTTGGAGGCAGGGTACACTGGTTCAGAGTGTTGGAGGCAGGGTATATTGACTGAGTGTGTTGGAGGCAGGGTACACTGGTTGAGCGTGTTGGAGGCAGGCACTGGTTGAGTGTGTTGAGGCAGGTATATTATTTGCGTGTGAGGCAGGGTACACTGGTTATGTTGGCAGGGTTGACTGAGTGTGTTGGAGGCAGGGTACACTGGTTGAGCGTTATGGAGGCACACTGGTTGAGTGTGTTGGAGGCAGGGTATATTGACTGAGTGTGTTGGAGGCAGGTACACTGTTCAGAGTGTTGGAGGCAGGGTATTGACTGAGTGTGTTGGAGGCAGGGTACACTGGTTGAGCGTGTTGGAGGCAGGGTACACTGGTTGAGTGTGTTGGAGGCAGGGTATATTACTTGAGCGTGTTGGAGGCAGGGTACACTGGCCGAGTGTGTTGGAGGCAGGGTATATTGACTGAGTGTGTTGGAGGCAGGGTATATTGACTGAGTGTGTTGAGGATACAGTCGCTCAACGAAACCAAAGTTAAACGAAATATCCGTTAAACGAAACACACATTAAACGAAGTCTTTGTTAACGAAACCTATACTCAACGATTTCACATTAAACGAAATCAACGCTCAACGCAATTAAAGAAATTATTGTAATAAAACCGAAAAAAAATCCTATACAGGTGTTCTTTTGTCTGTACCTGTACTTATTTATATCGCTGTACGTGTAACAAACCTGTACTTGTATCTGTACCTGTGTAAATGTTTCAGAGTTAAAATAATAGTAATGATGATGATGACTGTAATAAGTTATATGAATTATGGTCATGGTCTGATTACATTAGGTTATGATATGTTAACTTAGATCGTTTTATATTAGGTTAGGTCAGGTCATGTTATGTTAGGTTAGGTCAGGTCATGTTATGTTAGGTCGATTTACATTATGTTGTTATGTATGTTATCTTATGTTATGTTAGGTTAGGGTCAGGTCATGTTATGTTAGGTTAGGTCAGGTCATGTTATGTTAGGTTAGGTTAGGTCAGGTCATGTTATGTTATGTTAGGGTCAGGTCATGTTATGTTAGGTTTGGTCAGGTCATGTTATGTTAGGTTAGGTCAGGTCATGTTATGTTAGGTTAGGTCAGGTCATGTTATGTTAGGTTAGGTCAGGTCATGTTATGTTAGGTTAGGGTCAGGTCATGTTATGTTAGGTTAGGTCAGGTCATGTTATGTTAGGTTAGGTCAGGTCATGTTGTTAGGTTAGGGTCAGGTCATGTTATGTTAGGTTAGGTCAGTCATGTTATGTTAGGTTAGGTCAGTCATATTATGTTTGGTCGATTTACATTATGTTGTTATGGTGTTATCTATGTTATGTTAGGTTAGTCAGTCATGTTATGTTAGGTTAGGTCAGGTCATGTTATGTTAGGTTAGTCAGGTCATGTTATGTTAGGTTAGGGTCAGGTCATGTTAGGTTAGGTCAGGTCATAGTATGTTAGGTTAGGTCAGGTCATGTTATGTTTGGTCGATTTACATTATGTTGTTATGTATGTTATCTTATGTTATGTTAGGTTAGGGTCAGGTCATGTTATGTTAGGTTAGGGTCAGGTCATGTTATGTTAGGTTAGGGTCAGGTCATATGTTTGGTCGATTTACATTATGTTGTTATGTATGTTATCTTATGTTATGTTAGGTTAGGGTCAGGTCATGTTATGTTAGGTTAGGTCAGGTCATGTTATGTTAGGTTAGGTCAGGTCATGTTATGTTAGGTTAGGTCAGGTCATGTTATGTTAGGTTAGCGGTCATCATGTTATGTTAGGTTAGGTCAGGTCATGTTATGTTAGGTTAGGTCAGGTCATGTTATGTTAGGTTAGGGGTCGGTCATGTTATGTTAGGGTTAGGTCAGGTCATATTATGTTTAGTCGATTTACATTATGTTGTTATGTATGTTATCTTATGTTATGTTAGGTTAGGTCAGGTCATGTTATGTTAGGTTAGGTCAGGTCATGTTATGTTTGGTCATTTACATTATGTTGTTATGTTTGGTCATTTACATTATGTTGTTATGTATGTTATGTTATCTTATGTTGTTATGTATGTTATGTTAGGTTATGTAGTTTGATATCATAGAGGTGTAGAAATATCAAGTCTAATTCAATAATTTTATGGTATCAGTGATCAAAGGTGATGTAATATATTAAGTGAAAATATGACGGGTTATTGTCTGACCTTCAGCGTCGGGACGGGGGTGGGGAAGGAGGGTGGGGGGTGGGTGGGTGGTGGGGTGGGTGGGAGGGAACTTAGGGATTGTGTCTCTGAAATTAACACCCTCAGGATATACAAGTGGGTAGCCTGACGCCTTCAACCCTGACCTTGACTCACCCTGACCCTAACTCCCTGACCTCTAACCCTTGACCTCAACCCCTGGCCTCTAACTGCCTGACCTCTAACCGCCTGACCTCTGTCCCTGACCTCTAACATGACCAACAGTTACAATAGACATAAACGGCAAATATTGGTGAACCTTAACTTGTCCACAATACAGAACCTTAACTTGGTCCACAATAAATAACCTTAACTTGGTCCACAACAG